GGCGTCGCTCCGCAGACGGGAAGATCTCTGGTTGGATTCCTAGTCTGGGTGCAGGCCTGGGCTGCTGGCCAGGTCCCTGGTTGAGGGTGTGCAAGATGCAAACAATCAATGTTTATCTCACACATTGATGTTCCTCTCCCTCTCTTTCTCTCTCTCTACCCCTTTATGTAAAAATCAATCAATCAATCAATCTTAAAAAAAAGACACCCAGATTTAACGGTGCCCTCTGGACCCTCTAATAAAACTCAGTGTTGTTGCTATGATCTTAAGTGCATAAAAGACAGTCTGAATCCTGGAGCAGGGCACATGATAACTTTGTAGTTAAACTGCTTTTATGAAAAAAGAAAACAAGCCGTAAAGGGCAAAATAACTGTAATAGAAATTCATTGGCATGTGTTTTTCCCTTTTTTTGTGACTGCTTATACTGGGTCAGTTTTAATATAATTCTAAGTTGCTTGATCTAAGTAAATGGAAAAGAAATCCATTGTAGGCTTATACATATTAAAAAGGTAGTAAATGATTAAAGTTTATTATTAAGGTGTAAAAAAATGGCATCTAATTTCAATTCAGTTAGTTTTTAAAATGTTTCTCATTGAATATTATCTGGGTTTTCAGAAATTTAAAGTGCATTAATATATGTTTACTAAGTCTTAAGAGTTTATTTTCTTTCATCTTTTGTTTTAAACTAGGTAATGTAGAAAGTATGTTCAATATTCTGGGCTAGAATATAGCTGTGTGTTTACTTGTTTACTGATTCATGGTATAGAAGCAGCAGAAATAATATTCAAGATTAATGACATTTCTAGATTATATGGTGGAAATGCAGTAATTTGCTTAGCGTTGATCCTCAATACATCACTTTTGCTCCTCCAATGAAAATGATACAATATAAGTTCTTATTGACTGAATTTTCCAAGACTTACATATCCTCAGAGTAAAAGGAAAAATAAAAATAAAGAGAATTAGACAACATTTTAGACACCAAGTAGATCTACAATAAGGAATATATTATTTTGGAAAAGTGTTATGAATAACTGGCCAGATGTTGAAGGTGGATAGTGAGGAGTAAAGAATATTTTATTGCAAATTCCTAGGTATCCAAGAGAATTAGAGGTTCTTTTATTCAGCAAACTCATATTTGGAAACTTGGGTTTTTAAAAAACATAGTTGACTTTTAGAAGAATCATGTTTCTATAGGGTATGATTTCATGTACTAGAAATAGAAAACACAATTTGATTAATTAAAATTCAGCTTATTGATTTTTATTCCTTTAATGCCAAGTATAATTATTAATATCTATACTTATTATAAGAAATGAAGATGCAATATCTGTTAGTGTGAGAATGAGAGTAATTATTTACCATATTGCCCTTAAAGGGGAATGGAACTTGGTCACTGCCAGATTCTTTCTTTACAGGGTGTGGCAAGTAGGGGTGTTGGGCATGGTTATGAGTATAAGTATTCAAAATTGAGACCTGGAAGAGGCAAATTGCTCTGCATCACTTGGACAGGGAGATTTAGAAGCATGTGGGGAAGGTCCAGAAGCTGCAAAAAATCAACTAATTAGGCTGGGCAGGATGTAGGCGAACAGGGAAGAAGGGTAATTCCTTGTTGGTGGAGTTGCCCAGGGGAATTTATAGAACACCCAATGTTTGATGGAGATTTGATGAGTGTGAGTATACCTATATAGTCTTAGGTAAATCCTAGGTCACTCAGTGTTTTTGGTGTTTTGGGGTGAAAACAAAGAGGTTCAATATTCTGCTTACTGGTGAGCACTGGCATGTGAGTTAGCTTACTAGGAATCTGGGTTACATTAGGCTATAAGGTTTGATGGGGGGAAAAACTTGTGGGCCAAAAAGAACTAACAGTGTTATAGTTGGTCTGGCTTAGAGCTAAAAATGGTGAGTGAAACTTTATGATACTTGCATAGCCTCAAAATAATCCAGTAAAATATTTGTTAGTTACTTTAGTGGTTTTAACATACTGCCACGCATTCTTTGAAAATCTTTCTCTGGGAGGTGGAGCTTAATTTTTATCCTTTGAGTATGGGCTGGGCCTATTGACTCATTTAAAAAATAGTGTATGGAAAGGAAAGAATACTAACTTTATGGTAAAGAAATTTGGCAGACACCACCTTATCTCAATGGGGTGATCACGGTTATCGTCCCCAGTCCTGAGCTGCGTTGTAGGGAACATTGTGTTCCCTACAATGGGATGCGGTGAGAAGGGCACTAACCTCTGTTGCGTCCCTCCACTTCCAAGTTTTTGAACCCTGTTTAATCATGGGAAGACATCAGACAAACCCAAATTGAGGGACATTCTATAAAATACCTGACCTGAAGCTACCTGCAGAATCTCTTCAAAAATGTTGAGATCATAAAAACAAGGAAAGACTGAGAAACTTTGATGGATTGAAAAACTTTCACAGACTGGGATCTGCTCCATAGTACTCTGAATTGGATTTTGGTCTAAGAAAGAACATTTGATAGTTGAATAAAGACCATAGATTAGTGGTTTTGTAACAATGTTAATGTCTTAGTTTTCATAAACATACCATGGTCATATAAGATGTTAATTTTTGGGAACACTAGGTGAAGGATATGGTAACTTTAAGTTCTTTTTACAACTGTTCTGTAAACCTGAATTATTTCAAAAATAAAAAAATCAGAATAAACCCATTCACAAGATTTTTTTCCTAAAGAAAAGACTAAAATGATGACTTGTGAAAACAGTGAAGGGCTATTATCACTTTTACTTAAATCCTGAAATAAATATTTGTTTTCCAATATCTCTACACAATGATAATTGTTTTTCCAGAAAGAAAGACAACCTGGTGCTTGAGCAAATATGGCAATAATAAAGATGGAAGAAATCTGGGAAACTTACATAAATGTGATGAACAGAATTGGCCAATTGCAAAGTTAATTGTTACTCAGAGATTATAAAGGAATATTTATTTATCCATTCAACAACATATACTTACCACTTAAAATGTGCCAAGTACCGTGTTAAAAGTAAAATGGGATCATGACAGTCGAGGTTTTGGCCTTCTGAAGCTTATACCATAGTGACTCCAAAGCTTTTGTGTTACTCTTTGGAAATGAAATGTAAGCCTCTGGGTAAGCCAGGATTATTTTGAATGTCTATCAAAGTAAGTAAAATCAAGCATATAAACGAGTTAAACATTTTTAATGCATTTAATCAAAATAACGTATGCAAACACTTGGGAAATGTTAATATAACTTTCTAGCTTGTTTTAATGTAAAGTGTTATAGGATTTTAAGAATGTGAGTTTTGGAAATCATAAAAAAGGAACAGAAATGGATAAATTCCAGTTAGTAAAATGGAAAAATTTCTTCACTAGAGAATTTTCCAACAAGCCAAAATTGAATAGATTATGCATATAGAATTAAATATTATTACAACCTTTTCCTTACAATAAAGAACAAAAGCAAACATCAAAATCACTTGTTAACTACCTTAATGTATTGTGATTATAATACTTGATCAGTGTTAGCAGTTCAGTAATCATTATAGTTGTCTTTCATTGTACCTTTCAATGTTTTACAAGTATCAAATTATTTAGTCTTCATATCTGTCCTGTAAGCCTGATACTATGATTTCCACGTGGAGAGGCAGACAGCCTAAGTCAATGTCCTGTGTCTGTCACTAACTAGGTGAATGACCTAGTTGGATTGGGGAAGTGATTCCACTACTTGTACCCCAATTTCCCCCTCAATAAAATGGGCTTAGTAATAACTAATAGAATTATCATAAAGATTAAATGTTCTATTCAATATATATAATGTATTTCTTTAGTATATTTAAGGGGAAGCAGAATGCCCGGATATGGTAAAACTATAAAAGTTTTATTCTGTTGCTAAACTCAAACCAAAATTATTTTTCATGCTACTGATGTCTCTTTCCCCAATTGCTTTTTTTTAGTGGGAATAGGAGCCATGGCAGAGGGAGCTGTGCATTCATGGATAGGGGGCCATGGTTATTTTATATACACATATATTAGTAGCCCCTAGCACAGTGCCTGGCACATTATAAATGCATAGAGAAGTTATTTGGCGGATAAGTTAATGAAATTGAATATGATTGATTATTCTTACATCAAAACAGTTTTTAACACGCTCTGCTGTTTGCTTAAAAATCACTTTTCTGCTGATTGAGCCCCATAGATCCTGTTGGAAAAGACTTCTAGCAATTGGGCCTTTCTCAATTCGTATGGCTTCTACACATGTACCTTTTAAGTCTAAATGCTAGAACTATGAAAATTTTTTTTGAACAAATGGAATGTCTTTTAGGTGTAATGAAAGATTGTTCCAAGTATACATCTCCTTAAGTGTAATTTTAATATAGAAACAAACCCAAGCAAACACTTTTGTGGTTAACTTTTGAACTTTGTATTTTTAAAAGGTTTTCTTTTCCATTTTATTAATGAGAGAAAGATGTAGAAAAGAATGTCCTCCCACCCCGTATGAAGTATTTTTTGAAAAGCCAGTTATATGTTGTGATTAAATGTCATATATGTAATAATGATGCAGCAAGCATGTTTCTACTTTGATGAGATATTTTTTAAAGTTTGGAAAACCAGTGAGCTAGTTTTTAGTATTATATCTAAATAGTGGAGCAGAAAATATAACTTTTAAATACTTTTATTTCAGCAGGCAGTAAGTTTTGCTGGTTTCCAAGAAAACTGTTAGCTGTCTGCACTTTCTAATTATGTAACAGAATACCCAGAGATGGGAAAAATGGTGAAACTAAGGGGAACTAAGCGGCAATTGATTAGGAAGATCAGGAAATTGCTTCCATTTGATTCCACCTGAAATGTTCTTAGGATTTCAGTGAATGAGCAGGTGTTAATTCCTTTATATATTTTGTACAGTTTGTATTCATCTTCTTCAGCCTTTTCTTAGTAGGTCTGAGCAGTGTCTTTCAGTTTTAAATGAAGTTTGTTATAACACATATGTTCCCATCTCTTTTATTCTAGGCATTGAAGAAACAAGAAGCTAAAGCACATGAGGATGAGGGAGTAATGAAAAATAAGCTAAAACAAACTGAAACTGAGAAGAGTCAAGTAAGATTTTTAAAGTTATCTTTCAAAGAGTAATGCTGTTTGGGGGCCAGTGATAATTATTGAGTGCTTTAAGGCATTTGTTAGAACAGAGCAAAGCCTTTATGTATTGATGTAGAGTCACTTGGTTTGAAGGCTCTGCCACTTTGCTACTTGCTTTTAGAAACATGTACAGGTCATTTTCTACCTTTTCATCTGGCCACTCTCCTTTTATAGAGGTTAGTGAAACTTGACCATTCCTTAGTGGCGAATACTTGAAGAGCTTGCCTTTGCTGCAGGGTTAGGAAAGCCCTGTTGTTTAAACGCTAAGCATTTGGGATATATTCGTTTCCATTATAGAAGGTAGTCATAGTTAGCAGCCTAGAGGAAAAATTCTCTGTTATCATTAAATACTAAGGACTTTTGACATACAAGTTCTGTCCAGAAGATATCCAGCCATGTAATATGAAAAATAGAGACATTTATTGAAGAAGATACAAGATACAAGATACAAGAAACATTGTACATAGGACAATGATGCCTCAGTCTCCTTCAAAACAGGCACCTTGGGACCTCACGCAGTTCTCCCAGTCACCATGAGATGCCCTGTTTTATTTTCCTGAATCTCATCGATGGTCTAAAATTTCTTCCCTTTCAAAGGTGATTTTAGTTTTGGGAAAAGCCAGAGTTACAGGGCGCCAAATCTGGGCTGTAGGGGCACTGAGTCACCTGGGTGATTTGATGTTTTGCCAAAAAATTCTGCACGAGGTGTGATGCATGAGTGGGCATATTGTGGTGATGAAGCAGCCAATCACCAGTTGCCCATAGCTGCGGCCTTCTGAATCATCCGAATAGTTTTCGTGAAGGAATGTTCAAGCTTAGTGCAAAATTGGATGCAGATTCGTGGCTCTGCTCGCTCAGTGGTTTTGAATGCAACAGCCACAGAGTACACATGCGCACTCAACAGAGTCTGCTGCCTTCACTCACCAGCACTGTGGAGTCAACATTGTTCACACATGTGCATTCCAGCCCACTCTTCTTGGCTGCCAGGTTACATAGATATCACGCAGACCATTCTCATTATATTACCAAAGGCTGGACTCCTTCCGGACAGACCTAGTATATTCATGTCTATGACCCTGTGAGCCTAGGATGTTAGAATTAGAGAGGAATTCAGAGGCCACAAACTCTTCCTAGTTCAAAATGAGTGGATTTATGGATGAGCACAAGGTAATATATAATAAAGTGAAAATTTTCCTCTGATGTAATGTTCCTTACTTCATAATCGCTTTTGTAATATCTAAGACGACTTATTTTATTCTGCCAACCAATGCTAAGCTAAATCAGGTGCCCATGCTTCCTTTACTGTAAACATGGATGTCAGGTCGTCAGGCCTGCCCTTTGGGAATTAAGACGGCTGGTATTCTGTGGGGATCATGGCAGAAATGGACCTTGGTCGATTTTGAAACTATTTTGCCTGAAGTGTGATTCCTTTCTTCTTTATTTCTCCATAGAAACAAGAGTGCAGGGGAGAAAATATTTTGTGTAGACTCTGTGATTTTACATATACTTCCCTTTTAAAAATATAGCCTTTATTTTATGAGCCACATATATAATTTTTAAACAACATATAACTGGATTAAAAATTATTTTGAAATAGACTCATAAGCTGTTGTGAAACAAAATCTACAGATAGGTCACATGAGGCTTTCGCTGTTTTCCTCCATGGTAACATTTTGCACAATTGTGATTTAATATTAAAGTCAGGAAATTGATATTGGTACAGCCCACAGTTCTCATGCAGCTCTACGTGCACTGATTTTTGTGATGAGAGGGTGGGTGTGTGTAGTTCTATACAGTTTTATGTCATGAAGAGATTCACGTCACTGCCCCAAGGTCAAGATGCAGAACTGTCCCATCGGCACAGTGCTCCCTCACGCTGCTCTTTGGTAGCAATTCCTCCCGCGCGTCCAAGTTTTGAAGGACTAACATATTGATAGTAGGAAGATGAGAAGAACGAGTGTTTGGTAAAGTAGCATATGCCCTGCTATGCAGTTAAGTCTTTCAGACAGAAAGTTATCTCTGGTAATAAAATGCTCTCATTCTGGTATCGACCCCCTTTCTAAGTTCTTTAATGCAGTTAAGGGGAAGATAAAAACTACCCTGAGTCTGCTGGGTCTTGAGTGCCATCAGCTCAGAATAACCCTTACGTCAAAAAGGCATATTTTGGGGTGGCATCTCTGTTCCCCCTCCTTCCTGTTATATTTTTCAACTGAAAGTAGCCTATGCACATTCAGTCTTTGCAGAGTGTTTAGTCACCTCATGGGCACATATTTTGTGGCTGTTTATCTAATAGCAGTATTACTCAAGCAATTTTAAACATCTTATTCTGAACTGAGATATTTTACAATTTTAGGAATGTTATGGATATTGGAAATATTAGGAATATAAGAATACATAAATTCATCATTTGGGTGAAATATACTTTGAGTCACTGGGTCTCTGAAGTTTTTATTCTAATTTAGTTCATATGCTGCTACAGGTACTAACTTAAAGTCAAAGTTACTTTAGAACTTAGGTTAAAATGACTTAGAACTGGAAGGAATCTCAGAGATAGTTTAATATAAAAATCCTTACTTTAGAGGTAACAGAAAGGAGGCCTAAGAAAAAGAGATGTAAACAAGGTCTTCGCCACGATGGAACTGACGAGAACCCAGCCCTCCTGAGGTCTGGTTCAGTTTGCTTTGTGTTACGCAGTCAGCATTATCTCAGTGGAAGCATTAATACGTGTTTATAGCAAGATATTTATCCTTTTATGTTACCTTCTGAAAACTTTCCCACTTTTCTCTCTTAAACTCTCCCCATACAATTTAGTTAACTTGTGTCTCATGGGACAATTTTTGTTATCCTTTGTTGAAATTCTAGCTTGAACAGGAACTGGAGCTATCGCGAAGGTTATTGAATCAGTCAGAAGGCAGCAGAGAAACACTTTTGCATCAGGTAAGTCTATGCAGGCTACGATAAGCTGCTTTTATATTAAGTCAGGATTGAGTCTTCTTCTCTAATAAGTGTCTTTGTGAAAGGAAAAACCCGGGTCTAGAATCGTTTTTTCCTAACGAATGTATATCAGCATACATAAGTAAAAGATGAAATCCTTTCAGGAAGATTCAGAGAAAGCTAGTGAAAACACCAGCCCAAGTTTCCACTGTGACTGTATCTTGCTGATGCTGCTCCAATTTAGGACTTATCTCCCCTAGCATAGCCGGTGTACAAGTGAGAATGGGTGTGCAAGATAAAGTTTTCCCAGAGGCTTAATTTTCTTCAAGGAGGCACTGGAGAGGGAAAGAGAAAGTAAAATAAAATACAACAGACTTCAGTTTACTTTGAATGCATATAAATTCATATTTTCAAGATGCCGCCTGCCCCTTTTTAACCAAAACTAAGGCTTTCTCACAGCATAATATTTTGCAGCCCATTAGCCCATAGTGGGAGTTTGGTGCCTCTGATATTTAACGTTCTGTATCTTGAAATAGCCATCTCACAGTCGTTGGATAGGGGCTTGTGGCTTTCTAACTGCCTCTCTGCCTGTATTTAATATAAAATGCATTTGTACCTTCCTCTGTTTTGAGGTGTGGATTGCATAACTCACTACATAATATGTTAGGGAGGCAAAGATGTCAGAAATCATATAGATGTTTAGAAGGAATATTACATTTTGACAATTAGTGCTGAAAATACACCACAGCACCTGTTTTACAAAACCTTTAAAAATGCTCCTCGGCTTTGTTCTGCAGCCAGTGGTCCGTTGGAATTACTGTTGGCAGAATTCAGACTTTCTTTTTTGGTAGTTTATATTTGTATTTAATTTCACTCTGATTTTTTTTTGGAACTCTTGAGTTGTACTTTATTTATAATGTCATCTTTTTGAAGTAAGAGGTTTCTGTGTTTGGGTTGTCATTATGACTTTAGCAAAGTCTTTTTGCCATTGCTAAGTTTTTAAATGGACAATGGGGATATATATACCTGCTATGTGCTAGGCGATTTGCTAGTCTCTAGAAATACAGAGATGAATAAAATAGTTCTTGACCTCGAGGAGTTTATAGTTTATTCAATAGTGTTTATTGCTTATTCATGTGGAGCAGTACTTTGACATCAAAGTGCACTAGCTCATGATCATTTTTCTTCAGTTTACCAATCAGTGGGCCATGTTCACATGAAAGAAACTAAGTAAAAAATATGAAAACATATAGTACTTTATTGGAGGTGGTTTGGTTTAATAGTAGTAGAATGAACTGAGGTTCAAATAAAGGATTTTTAAAATGTGATCTACTTCTTTGTCACAGTAGACACAGAGAAGGGGAAAAGACATTCGCTCTTTGTGGAAAGAGTGGGAGGAATAAAGAAATGGAGCAAGAGATTAACCCAGGGTGCTTGGCGTGGCCAGGAGATGAACTTGGCTTCCACTGGTGCTCGCAGCAGCCCAGGAGAAGTAAATATTTTCCCTAGGACAATAATTTATAGTAACTCGAGAGCTCAATTATTCTTTTTTTTTTTTTAACTTTTAAAACTTACAGAAGTTTAATTTTTATTCTATGTATTTAGGTAGAAGAACTCCGTACACAACTTATGAAAGCAGAAGGCGATCGAAAGGGTTTACAACATCAAGTATCTCAGGTTTCCAAGCAGCACTCAAACCATCAGGATGAACAAGGAGACGACTGGAGGTTTAGGAGAGGTATCATTCTGATTTGTAAATATCTAGGGTTTTTGCTCTTTCCTAAATACTTCCCATTTTCAGAATCTCATTCCTTTACTTGTGCTTTTGTCATCTTATCTATTTCTTGATTTACCACAAGGTTTTCAAACAATGTAGCATCCATTTTTTTAAAAAACAGACTTTATTTTTTAGTGTTGTGTTTATAGCAATGCTGAGCAGAATGTACAGAGATTTCCCATATATGCTCTGCTCCCACACACGCATAGCCTCCCCCATTATCAACATCCCCTTAAGAGTGATATGTTTGTTATAACTGATGCATCATATCATCCAAAGTCCATAGTTTACACTTAGGGTTCACTCTTGGTGTTGTGCATTCTATAGGATGGACAAATACATAATGGCATCTATTTACCATTACACTGTCAAAGGGTAGTTTCAGTACCCTGAGGATTTTCTGTATTCCACGTATTTATCTCTTTCTCCTCCTTAATACCTGACAACCACTGATCTGTTATTTCCAGTTTTGCCTTTTCACAATCGCATATAGTTGGAATCCTATGGTATATAATCCTTCAGATTGGCTTCTTTTGCTTAATAATATACCTTTAAGTTTCTTTTATGTATTTTCATGACTTGGTAGCTCTCTTTCTCCCTCTCTTTTTTAAACATTGTCTGAATGCATGACGGTTTATCTATTAACCTACTGAAGGCAGCTGGGTAGCTTCCAAGGTTTGGCAATTATGAGTAAACTAAACACCTGTGTGCAGACTTTTGCGTCGATGGTGTTTGTCTTCTCTGAGTAAACACTAAAGAGTGTGATTAATGAATTATATGATAGGAATATGTTTAGTTTTGTGAGAATCTTCCAAACTGTCTATCAGAGTGGCTGTACCATTTTTCATTCTCTTCAGCAATGAGGCTTCCTGTTGTCTCACGTCCTTGTCAGCATTTGCTGTCCTCAGTTTCCTGGATTTTAGTCATTCTAATAGGTTTGTAGTGGCATCTCATTGTTGTTTTAATTCGCATTTCCCGGATAACAAGTGATGTGGAGCATCTTTATCAGGCTTACTTGCCATCTCGATATCTTCTTTGGTGAGGTATCTGTTTAGGTCTTTGCTCCATTTTTTTTTTTTTTTTTTGTCGTGTTAAATGTTTTCTTGTGGAGTTTTAAGAGCCTCATATATTTTGAATAACAATCTTTTATTAGATATGTCTTTGCAAATAATTTCTCACAGCCTGTGGCTTCTCTTTTCATTCTCTTAATGTCTTTTGCAGAGCTGAAAATTTTACTTTTAACGAAGTCCAGCTTATCAGTTATTTGTTTTATAGATTGTGACTTTGGTGTTGCATCTAAAAAGTTATTGCCATTTATTGGTGACCCATTTATTTTTCCTGCTTTCTAAGCGTTTTATAATTTGGTGTTTTACATTGAGCTCTGTGATCCATTTGAATTAATTTTTGTGGAAGGTGTAAGGGTTAAGTCTAAATTCATGTTTTAGCATGGGGGTATCCAGTTGTTCCAGCACTATTTGTTGAAAACCTGTCTTTTCTCCATTGTATTGCTTTTGCTGTTTCCAGCCCTACAGATGGAGTTGCTCATTGGACATCTCTATGTGTTGTTTCACATTTGCTCAGTCAACACATTTAAATCTGAATTCATTCTTTCCTCAAAACCTGTTTTTGTTTCCTGTCTCTGTTGATGCCATTATTTTTATCCAGCTATCAAAGCCTAAAATACAAAGAAAATTCAAAACTACTTCTTCTCCCCTCCATCTAATTTGCCCTGATACCCTATTTATAGATCCTGATATCTCTTAAAATTTCCCTATCCTCTTTTTTATTCCTAGTACCCCAGTTTAGGCTTCATGTCAAATAAAATACCCTCTTAATTTGTCTTATTCCATGTCTGCTGTTATCGGTCTTCTATACTGCAACCACGGGGACCCTTCTAAGACACGAGCCATTCCATTTACTCTCTTATTAAAATCTGCCATTATAATTCATTAGGTTCTAATTACATGCAAGACATTGTGCTACTCATTTATGTAGTCTCCTTTAGTTCTTACAGCTACTCTATGAGAAAAGTACTATTTTTGTTTCTGTTTTAATGATTAAAAAAAAAAAAGTCCTAAGGAGCAGATTGAGTACCTTGCCTAAGGTCACAGTGTTGGGAAGTAGCAGACCCAAGTGGTTTTTTCCCCGAACTTGAGCTCTTAACTGCCATCCTTTACTGACCCATTACTGTTTGTAGCAAGTGTTCTCCAGAATGGTGTGTAAGAGGAGAAAATTACTCTGGGTGTAGGAGGAGGGTGCTTGTAACATTATTTCTATTTTGTACATCATGTTTTAAGTATTTAAATTTTGTTAGTGCTTCCTAATATATGTAGTATGTGTGTATATCTATATATTTACATATAGCCATGCTAATATTTTATATGCATCTATATTATAAAACAGAAAAACGTTCTATATGTCTCTATACCAAATATATAGTACACTTCATAAAGTATATATATGCATTTATATGTGTATCCATACGTATTATCTCCATATTTTATATATGTATTCATACTAATGTTATTATATATGTGTATATACTAATGTTATATATATTAGGAAACGTATCTATATATAAATAGATATACACTATAGAGATATATATGTTATATGCACACAAATATACATATAGATTTATAAAATAAAATGTTTATTAAATGCATATGTATATTTATAAAATGAACAAATACATTTACACTTAAACAAATATGCACATTTTTAGGTTGTAGACCTAGCAGGGATGGGCAAAGTACGACCCATGGGCCAAATCCAGACTTTTGCAAATAAACTTTATTGGAATATTGCTACTTCCATTCATTTATGCGCTGTATAGGTTGCTTTGCAATACAATGGCAGAGTTGAGTAGTTGTGACAGTCAGTGGTCTATGGCTAAAATATTTACTATTTAACCCTTTACAGAAAACATTTGCTAATTCCTGATCTGTAGGATAATTTCTAAGCTCCGTAGCAATGTATAACCTCCCTGTTGACCCCGTTTCCCTCCCTCATATGTGTGAGCTACATAAAACTACTGCGTGTGCAGTTACCTAAACGCTAAATCTGATTTTGTTATCTTGGTACTTTATGCCATTTCCTTCCCTTGAAATACCGCCCTGACTGTATCATTTGCTTGGTGGAATTTTGTATCCATTCTTTAAGTCTGCTTAGTTCCTAATTCTTCCTACCTCAGTTTCTTACCAAGATAATCACTCTATTTCTTGTACTATTTCTGTATAATAACCATTGTGCTATTCAGGAATATCTATGAGAGGGAACCCCAAAAAACCAAGAATTATCTTCTGGAGGGTAGGCCCCTTGTAGTATAGGCTGCCCCCACTAGGTTAATTGTTCTAGAAACCCACCTGTATCAGTGAACCAGCTGGTGTTGTGAGAGGCTGCATTTGGCTTCAGTGAATTTTTTTTTAAGACTTTCAGTGTGTTTTCCTAGTTCATGATGGGTGACTTAGGAGCACACCCGCCCATACCACACTGAGTGTTTAGCAATTTTTGACCAAAAACAGCATGATCCCCATATCCCACCCTCCCTACTCACCTGATCTGACCCCAAGCGACATTTTTTTTTTTTTGTTTCCCTGGATGAAAAAAGTCCTCAAAGGGAAATGTTTTGCTGTTGTGGGAGAGGTGAAACAAAAAACAGCAGAAGCACTAAAAAGCATCAAAATCAACGGGTTCAAAAACCATTTTGTGCAGTGGGAAAAAAAATGTCGTGATAGGTGTCCTGAATCAAATGGAGAGTACTTTTAAGGTGATTGAAGTTTAAACATGTAAGAATAAATACACAACTTTTTAAAAATAAATTCCATTTTTTTGCTCCCCTCTCCATATGTAGTATCTGTGAGTATTCTTGTCATGCTCTGAAAATGCCATGCACCTTCCATCCAAGGTACATTTGATATTTTAAATACTTTGATATTTCTAAAATTGTAGTGTGTCTTAAAAATGATCTGTATATTTGGGTTGGTAGTGTTTCATTTCATCTTTTCTTTTCTTGAAAGCAAACTACTGGGAAAACAGTAGTTTAAAATTTATATGTTCCAATTTTTGGCATCTTAGATTCAAGGAAGTACTCTATGTCTGTTTCTGTTCTCGGAGTGCAAGCTCCTTGAGAAAGGGTTTTTGTGTTATCTCTGAAGAAGATGATATTAAAAGGTGTTGTGCATCAGAGACCAAATGTCATCAGACCAAATGTCTCATGTTGAGTTAAATACTAGCTCAATTTTTTTGTTCATGGATGTAATTTCAGATAGTAGTCTCCAGAATTAGTAAGTTTGTGGTCATGCACAATCAGAGATTTCATGGCATCATGTGTTTATGTGGTAAGAAAAGTATTTTGCTGTGTGAACTACCCTGTAACCTCAGTTGGGAGTAGCTTAGTTGAAAATTCTTTTAGTATTTTTGTTAGATTTTGAAGGTAATGTAAGGATGTAAGGAAAGTTAAAGGAAAAAAATGTGTAGGAGTTTTTGAAATAAAATGTATTAGAAATCATATAACATTTTGCTTTAGTGTCAAAGTGAAATAATATTGTAGAAAACTGCATGAGATTTGAAACAATAAAATGGCAAAATATGAAGCCTGTTGAATGATAGTGTTAATAAGCAGATAATGTTAGCTGGGATATTAAGACATCAAGGCTTTGTACCATTTGAAAGTACATTCTCCTGTGAATAAACAACAACCATCAAGCTTTACATTTTTCTCTTTCAAGGCATTGAGCGGGAAAAGGAGGATCTGGAGAAGCAGATGTCAGATTTGAGAGTACAGCTGAACTTCAGTGCAATGGCCTCCGAGTTAGAAGAAGTGAAGCGGTGCATGGAGCGAAAAGACAAGGAGAAGGCACATTTGGCAGCGCAAATAGAGGTGACTTTGCTATTTTTAATTTGTACTCAAAGGACTTCAGTTTTGTTATAGAACTGCTTAATGAAATTTTAATATGAAGATTGTGATATTTTATGAACTGCAGTTTGGGTATAGATAATGTAAAGTTATTTAGATGGCGGATTATATATAGAAATTTCTATGGATTTATTTCTCTTTCATTTGACCTTAAAGCCAGGAAGCTATTAAACTTGAAAATATTTTTGTTCTAGTAGCAATTGAGTCCTTCCTACAGACGGAAAGGACCGTTCTTCTGAAGGAACAGTGAATTATCATTTATTTTTGGGGTGGAAGTGGCAGAATTCTCAGCATAAAGGTATTATTGCTGTTTCTTCTTTGGAATCATAAAAGTTTTCAAATGTCTAGCTGTTCTGCATGAGGCAGAGTTGTGATGCCTGTATTTAGAGTTGCATAAAAATTGTGGGTGATGTAACCATGAGTGAAGTGCAACTAGGTAGCTACTGTTTTCTGCTCACCTTTTATCTAGCACAGATGGGGTAATTATCAGAAAATATTAAAAATCAAAGGAGAGAACTTCATAAAAAGGAAATAGCTTAATTTCAATTATCATTATGCAAATTAGATCAAACATAGATGACACATTCAGAAAGAGATATGTGTCAGTCCTCCTCTGTATGTTTTTATTAGTGAAGCTGTGTTCTAGTTGTAATAAGTACCCACATTTGAAGAAGTTCCTAAATTATAATGAAAAGTAGAAAATTGGTGTTAAGTGCATCTAACTTTATATAATCCAAAGGAAATGCTTAATGCGACTCTAGTTGAGTTTTTCTTTCATCTTGTCAGTGCATCATTGATGGAAAATATATTTTAGATTAAGTTCAAGATTCAGATTGTAAAGATAATGACATATTGACATACTCTTTACAAAGCCCTTTATATGTTTAGTAATTACCTATCAGAAATATTCTCAGAGCAGTTGCAATTGTAGGACTTTTAAAGTTTGCTTCATGGATATTATTTTAGTCCTTGCTTCTGCTGACAGAAGTGCTAAAATGATTATTTTAAAGTATTTTTAAAAAAACATTGTTAATAAATAGCAAAGGTAGAAAAATCCCTTTGCTATGCTGTTTATAACCACATGTCTGTCCTCCTTCCCTCCCTCCCTCCCTTCCTTCCCATTGTTTTTTTTTCCATTTATCATTTGTGGAATAAATTGAAAAGGATCTCAAATATGTAGGCATTTAAAAAATTACTTATAATAACCTAGTAATGCTCTCATTCAAAGAGCCTGACTTTCTCCTTGCCCTTACTTGATAGTTCTTTCACATTGTCACATGGGCTGGGGAAGAGTTGGAATTCTCTTGTGTTAGTTTGGATTAGTTGTGTAGGTTTGAATGTCAAAGACAATTGGAGAAAGAAGTTGAACATTTACTCACAAATCAAATACTTAGTGACTGTTTATCATGTGCCAGGCACCATTTTAGGTTCTTGTGACATAACAGTGAACAAAAACTGAGCAGATTTCCCTGTCCCTATGCAGGCGACATTTTAAAATTGGTGCAGAAAATTCTTTGAGTTCGTCTCAAGTCTAATTCAGATTCCTTTTGAATGATGAAATATTTTTCTCCCAGTTGCCTTTGAAAAAGATAATCACAAAAAGACATCATTCATCCTGGAAGAAATTTTAATTAACCAGTTTTATTTATTTTCTGATTTTCTTATTTTTAAAAATATAATAATTAACAAGTTTATATCAATTGTTTTAAATTTAGTGAAATTTCTGATTGTGGCTTATTTATTTTTCATACCTTGTACAGGCCCATTGAATATCTTTATTTCTAGGCTATTCCTCAAGTGAAATGTAGTGTAGACTTGGTGAGAGATATAAGTCATCGATTACTCAATTTAACCTCTAACAGTTGGAAATTTTATTGAAATTTAATTGAAAAGCATTTAGCCTCTCTTTAATTGTTAGAAAGTTTTAGGTAGTAAGTGGTATTGCCTTATACATTCTATAAAAAATTGAAATTAATCTTTTTTAGCTTTTTTTGAGATCAAATATAAATAAGAAAAGATGCACAAAATGAGATTATTGGTCAGTCCCATTAACATTTATATGGTCACATTTCTTATTGTTTTTTCGATTATTGTCTTTCTTCTTGACTTTGTAACATTTCTCCTGCAGAACATCATACATAGTCTTGCCAGCTCATTTTGTTTCTTAAAATTCCCAAATCCCATCTGTTTTTCCTTTGTTCCAGTTATTAATTGTTTCTGTAATGTCTTCTTTTGTGCAAATCCTTAACCTTCTTCCTGAAGCCTTCTTGGATTATATCTGTTGCGAGTTATAATCCTTCCTTCTGAGCCATCCTTTACCCACATCACTAATGTTCTTATGGCACCTTTTTCACATTGTCTTAAAGTAATTTGGGTGTATTTCTTTAAGATTTCTAAGTGGGTTGAAATAAAGGAGAAAGAGGCTGACGAAAGCTGCCGTGTCATCGAGACAAATCCAACTTTGACATCCTCACCTTAGTGAAGACATCATGTTTCAAAGTTTTGTCTTCAATCTGGAAACTTGAATTTTCTGTGACCTAGAATGAAGGTGACCTCTCATATTAACAATGAAACTCACAAGAGGTTAAGAGATAAGAGTGCCAGTTCGCCTTGACCATGTAGGAGACCTATATGGATATTTCAACACTCTTCTCCAATGCAAAGCACCAGTCTTCCAGTTTTGTATACCGAGGTTTTGGAAAGCTGCTGATGAACACAGGATCGGAGAATAATGATGGCTAATGGACTGTTTGCTCCTGGATGTGGCAAGGCTTCCCCACCCTCCGTCTCTCTTTAACAGTGTTCTGGTAAACAAACTCGTCACCAGATTCTGTCTTTATTTCTGGAATGTGTTGATTTGACTTTTTTTCTTTTTTTTTTGTCTTTCTAACAATCTTTCATTCTGACACTTTGTGTTTACATTTTCTTTTGATAGTGGTGCTGTGCACAGATTTTGCTCTAGGCCAATTACCAGTATGAGTTGATGTCACAATTTAAACTTGTGGCATTCTGGGAGCCACCTGAATTAAAGACATATCTCTTTTCAGATCATAGATGACTGTGGGTTAAGAACCAGCTTTTACCTCTGTATCCCTTTGTGCCCCGCTTCAATGTCTTATCCATATTAGGCACTGAATTAATGTTTGTTGACTGAAATAAAATATTGTAGAACTTTTTAAAAAAGGTTTATTTAATTCTTATGTGAGATAGAGGAGAAGGCAGAGAGAGAGAAACATCAATTGGCCGTGTCCTGCATCGGGGATCAAACCCGCAGCTGATGCATGTGTCCTGACTGGGAATTGAGCCAACGACCTTTCGGTTATGGGACAATGCTCCAACCAACCGAGCCACACCAGCGAGGGCTGCAAAACCATATTTTTATGGTTATATTTTATGACTAACATTGTTGTCCAGTCATTCCTTAAAAGCACATTAATTTCTGAAAATGTTGTCAGTATTCAAGGGGACCTTTCCTGCTTCTCGCTAATTGCATTGATTTTTGTTGATCCAGAATATATATTTTAAGCAGTTATTTTACACTGGGGGAAAAACAGTGAAAATAGTTTGTAAAAAACCCAAAATGGAAGCTACATTTGAGTTTGCATAATTTACCTTTCAAATTGTATCTAAGATTTTAAATTTGTATATGCATAGAAAATACTAAGTGCATTTTTTTTTCTTCTTATAAACCTGAGTTGAACCTCATTAACCTTGATAGGCTATTTGTATTCATAAGAATTTCAAGCATCCTTGATCAATGATTCCCCCTGATTTAATCTCAGTCTCCATCTTCCATCAATTTACTCTTCTTGAAAAAAAAATTTGACTTTTAAATTCAATGAAGAACTTCAAAGAAAAAAAAAACCAAGGTGCTGTACATAATTTAGATTAAATGTTGAAAGTGATAATTGAGTGACAGCTGACATGATTATTCATTAGCATAAACTTGGGGCTTAATGCCAGAATTTACTTTTAAAAAGAGTAAGGATAGTAGAAAATAGGAATGGTAATCGATAATACCTTTTTTTTTTTTATGATTAGCACAATAGAAGCTGAAGGAAGTTTCCTTTTACTTTGCTTTTAGGATAAACTCTTCTTGCTTTTCATATATAAAGCTGGCCACTTTACTATACAATAATGTCCTCTTCAATACAACCGTTAAACCCTTCTTAAAGACCTATATCGTCTTAGCTATCTTAATTACGCTGTCTGTAATTTCCTATTGCACTTCATTTTATCTTAATAATTTCTTCCTTATCCAGGTGCATGTTGTAAAATAAGGTATTATCAGAGTACTAAGTAATTTTAATCAGATTTTAAACAGATGACAAAGAAAACAAATGTTGGCAGCCATACTTTATAGTCAGAGGCTAAATTTGTCAAATCTAGCGGAGTAGAGGTCTTCCTGCTAATACAATATAGTGAGTTAAGTCTGGATACTGATTCACTCCCCACTTTCTGGTTTTTGTTGTTGTTTACTTTTCTTTATTAGGTTAGTGAGTTGGCTGGAGTAGTTCTGTGAACCCTATTTTGCCTGCAGTGTGCAGTCACTTCTCAGAGGGTGCAGCCTTGCGTATGAGCTCAGTCTCCATGGCCAGCAGGGATGATTGTGGTTTTAGCTGATTCTTTTTGATTGTCCAGTCCTCTGATCTCCCAATTAAGCTTCTGAATTTGTTACTAAATACAAGTTGGGTTTGGCTGCTTGCTCCCACTCACATAGGCAAATTTTGGAGGCAGGGGTCTGGTAAGAGAAGGAAGGGGGCGTCTTTTAGTCAAAAGCTACACAATCTGGGAGGATGGCAGGCTCCTCCCTCAAAGCCCATCCCCTCCGGAAACCACAGAGGAAAACCCAGCCACCCTGTGCCAACCTGTCCCAGGCTGCGCCCACAGTTCCTCCTCCCAGGCAAAGGGCTGTCCTTTGGGAATTGCAGGCCGACGCGGAGTCGTCCTTCGAGCAGCCTGGT